CCTAATGCACTTAACATCTGCAAAGATCATGGAATAACAGTATTATCTTTTCCGCCCCACTGCAGCCATAAGCTGCAACCTCTGGACCGCAGTGTGTATGGACCTCTAAAAAAGTATGTTAACACTGCTTGTGATTCCTGGATGACTAGTCATCCTGGTGCAACGATGACTATTTATGATATACCTGGTGTTGTTCGTACGGCACTACCCTTAGCGGCAACCCCAAACAGCATCACAGCTGGATTCAAGGTTTCTGGTATTTATCCTTTTAATAGGGATATTTTTCCGGACAGTGAATTCATGGCAGCATATGTTACCGATAGACCAGGCCCTGAAGAAGATTTGCAAGATATTGTAGAAAATCAAAATATTGTTGAAGAAAATCAGCCTGAACCTATCCAAATAACTCCCCCAAAAAATCCCTTGTCAGAAAGTAACCCCAATGCATTTGAACAACAACCTGGACCTAGCAAAACCACAGAAAGTGTGACAGCTACCAAAACCTTATCAAATGCTCTCTCAATCAACAAGCCTGAGTGTCCTCAGCCACCTAAAAAGCTTTCAGTAAATGATATTTTTGATCATGGAGCCGGATGTAGTTTTACAGATCTCGAAAATTTGAAGCCGTTTCCAAAAGCAGCAGAAAGGAAAGTGCAACAAAAAGGTCGTAAAAAAAGGAAATCCGAAATTCTGACAGACACGCCTATTAAGGATGCATTGGAAGAAGAGAAAAAGGTGAAAGAAAATAAAACGAATTCGATAAAAAAACAGGTTTTTGGCAAACAGAAAAAGAACTCGAAGAAACAAGCAAGTACAAAAACCGTTAATGACGATTCAAGCAGTGATGAAGAAACCTTTTGTTTAATTTGCGTTGAATCATGGTCAAATAGTTTGCCAAAAGAGAAATGGATTCAGTGCACCCAATGCAAAATGTGGGCACATGAAAAATGTGCAGACGCAGGCTTGTTCTATGTATGTCATAACTGCGATTCGGATGGATCTGTATAGATGACCTACTTATCGAACTACTTATTATAATGATTTCTGTGTTATTGACCTTTTTTCAGACTGATTGTAACCTAAGACAATAAAACCATTGATAAGTTACCTTAGTTTTTGCTCTTACCAACCAACCCCTAGATATGTACCAACCTTCCCCGGATACGGGGTTGCTTGGTACATTTGCACCCTTGGAGAAAAAATAAGATTATAAATCCAAGTTATCTCCAAACAAGGCCTAATTTGGGAAATAGGTAGACAAACCATCAATAGTCAAAATCCCCAAGGTTTGTTTGCTGTATTTACCAATAAAAAAAATGGGGAAGCCTTCATGTGGAAAATGTAGGGGAGACCGGGGCTTAAAGTCTCACGGGTTAAAAGTCACAAAATCTTTTTCTCGCACAGTAAATATGGCATCGTCGCCATATTCATACGCCAGGAGCGCTGTCGAATGCTTGTCAGTTCTCTATCATTGCCGTTGGTGCTAGTCGCATGTGTATCTTTTTACGAGTGAATTTGTGAAAAAAGCCAATGTAAGTAATTTTTTGGACTAATAATACAAACCGTATATTTTATCTCAGTGCTAAATTTCAAAAATGCCGTATTATATTTATGATACCCCTACTTAATCTCTAAAAAGTCACCATAACTTCAATAAATTATACAGTTAGATTAGGTACATATTTTAAAAAGAAAATAACAGGACCGTTTGGGGTAACTTGTCTCACACGTTGTGGGGCAAGTTGTCTTATGTGACTTTTTACCCCGATATTGATATAAATATAGCTCTAAACGGGATTTAATTTTTAGATGGTGCGCGATTACAGGAAAAAAACAGATCGAGGCAGTTTTGATAAGGAAGCGGTGTTACGCAAAAAGAAAAATTGTAAAGAAGAATTTAACAGGAAATATAAGAGGGTCGAATAATAAAAATAAAAATGGAAAAAACAAAAAAAGTGCTAAAACGGAGTCCTCTGAACAATCAGAGCAAGATGATGAAGAAACTTTTCGTATTGTTTGCCTTGAACCATTTTCCAATAGTTCATCAAAAGAAGTTTGGGCTCAATGTACAGTCTGCAAGTTATGGGCCCATGAACAGTCTCGGTACACCGTGGCACGTCTGTCAGAACTGCGAAGATGATGACGACATCGATTGAGAAAATTGAAATAAAGCGTATTATTTCTCTTTCTTACCTGCATTTTTGCATTCTTTCAAATAAAAGCTAACCAAATATTTGTGTGACTTTTTACCCCTTTCCGTGAGACAACGTGCCCCATGATAAGGGCAAGATGTCACACTTGCAACAATTTGTGTTTAGCAAAACAATATTTAAATTAACGTTATTTATAAATAAATGTATGGTGTCTTTGTACAGGCAAATGACAGTGTGACAAACTGCACCAGAAGTAACTTTGATAGGATTGAATATGACTTCACAAAAAATTCACAACCAAATTTTGTGACTTTTAGCCCCGGTCTCCCCTACCAACCAACCCCGGTCTCCCCTACATATTTCGAAATTCTAAAGTGCAACAACAATTGAATCATTATTTATTTAATGCAACTAGAGCTTTATCGCTGAAAGTATTTTAAAACTAGAAGAACCATTTAGAAGTCTACCAGAGTCCATAGATATTATAGAAAAATGTATTAATAGTTGTAAACAAATACGAGGTAATGTAGGACAAGCAGTAATGCCAAAGGTAGAAGAAACGATTGAATAAAATCAAGGCTATAAAATTTTAGAACGGGCTTCGAAAATATTGTCAGGAAAAACTTTAGATAATCTAGATATTGAGCTGCGCCTAGTTCCTAAATTAGAATTTTGTCCAATAACTTCAGTAGACGTAAAAAGATCTTTACAAATCCAAGTCAAAAATTTGCAAATTTCCATTAACGAAGGTGAAAAACAAGCTGCAGAAGCTTATGAGAACCTCCCAACTACCAAAAATACCATGAAAGAAACTCAAATTGAATTTCGGGAAATATCCTTTAATGAATTATTTAATGAGCCTAGCTGTAGCAAAGCACTCACTTTGACTGAAATTACAGCACAAAATTCCAGAAAACACGCGAAAATATTTACGTCTACCCCTAATCAAGAACCGCTGTCCGACCGAAACAAACTATAATAAGAAATTATAATAAAGCAAAATTGGTCAAACGTGTTTTGGATAATGATAGACTCACCACCATCGTCAAACCAAGTAAAGAAAGAAATACTAAAATGATCACGTTCAAGAGGAAAAGTGTAAGAGGCAGTGTACCATTTCAACAAGATTTATGCCGAATTTCAATCAAGAATCTTCAGAAGCCGATGACAGATGATTCTGATGATGTCCAAATTTTTGAAGACTTGTGGGGAGTTTGGGAAAGATGAAATATGGATCAGGGGTATTTTTTGTGGTCAGTGGGCTCACGAAGAATGTGCCAATACAGAAAAACATGATTATATATGTGATCATTGTGAATAAACGGGTAATACCAGCCATTGTCCGCCATTTCCCCCACTGTGTGATTAAATCCGTCCAAAGAATTTTTTTTGTTAATTTTGTGCATTACACTAATTTCTGTATTTTTTTCTTTTTGTACTTCAATAAACTCGATTTGATAGAAGACTGTACTATACCTATTTATGATTTTGCAAGTAAATAATTATTTAAGTTCAAGTTCTATCAGTGCAACTGATAAAAATAGTCACCTTGTGACAAAAGATTGCATTCATTTGGCAAATTTCAGTTCAAATAAATTTCATTTATATTAAATTAATTGATGTTCGGATTAGATATTGGGTTTGCTTGCGGCTAGCTCTCGATTCGTTTGGATAATAATTATTTTGACTGAAAATGCAAAATAACTGCATTTAACTTTAAAACCCTTTTTTTATGTAAAAGTAATATGCACTTGCTGCAAGTTGCAGGGAAATCGAGACGTTCCGCTACAGCACCTTCTGGCACTCGTATCGAGATCGGGACACGAAATGACCTGACTGTCCCCGAGTCCATAGGTAGTGCTTGTGCTGTACGCTGACTCCGCCATTCTTTCTTTTTGTTTTCGCCCTTCAGCCCCTTCGGTTCATAGTTCAGTTGAGTTTAGGTCGAGGGTCGAGGTCACGTCGCGGGGCGTTCGTATGGTCCGAAATTTTTAAAAGTGACAAAAAGTTGCAGTTCAAGTTGAAAAAATGGATTTGAAAGCATTATTGGAGATGTGGAAAATAAGTCATTTACTGACAAAATTTGAAGGTGATTTTTTGTTAACTTTTCGACGCTTTTTGCCATTAATCCAGGATTTGCATTGATAATACCGACCCAAACAATAATAATTTAACTAGTAACTTTGTAAAGTAGGTATAGCGTCCTTCTTGACACTGATAAGAATGGTATACCTATGACAAAATAATTGATTCTTTTGCTACTTTTATCTTTAGAACAAGGACAATTACTTTCAGCGAAAATGTTTGCTTTTATGTTAAGATACCATTGATTCTTGCAGTAAGTTCAAGATTCTTTTGCCATTTGATGCCTTTAAGGGGAAATTAATTCGTTTAGCTTAAAACGTCCTGTGTTATTATCTTCTGTGTTTATATAAAATCTTAACAATGGACGCGAAGTAATTATTGAATAGTTGGCGTCAGGACCATTTATGGCCAAGTTTTTATGTAAGTTTAAGCGCCTTTTCAAGCAATACCGCATGCATTTATTTATGCCGCCATTTCGTGTAGACCATGGCGCCGATTCTATTATACGATTCGAGTCGAATCCGCCATATTAATTCGCTTTTCGAGATTCTGTTATGCGAACTATCGCATAAACTCGAATCGTATTGCTCGACAGGTCGAGAGGTGCCGAATCAAATCGAATTTCGAATGTGTTGACAGTTGATGTAAGTTTTTTGTTTTGAAGTGAAAAGTGAAATAATAATATAACCTCAATATATATATTTTCGAGTCTATTGGTTTATTTTGTGTTATTGACTATTTAATAAATGAAAATAAATTGAAATGGCTTCATTCAAAATAAAAGAATGCCATTGGGAAGTCCTAATGGCATATATGGAAGAGCACAAAGACTTTGCGAACGGGCGGTTCTTAGGACTCCAGGGGCGGGAAACGCAAAGAAAAATGTGGTCGACAATTGCAAACCGGCTGAATGCACTTGGATATGGCGAGAGATCGGCTGAAAAATGGCAAAAAGTAAGTAACTTATGCAATTACACTACAATATACGATAAGGATCTTGGCTTAAAACAACTGCCTGTTCTTGGATTGGATTAAAATTAAAAGCAGGGATTCTAATTATTAGCGTTTCCATTCTAGACTTGGGCGGATTTCAAACACAATTTGAAAAAAAAGGGACAGATGATTAATTCAGACTTGCACGGAACAGGAGGGGGTGGACATTCCTCTGCACCGTTTAATAGTTTTGAATTACGAGCCTTGAACATTTTTGGTGGCAAAACATTTTATGCTGGAGCAGGGAGTACCGAACTTGGTATTTTATCACCAAGTATATCGCAACCAAAAGCAAACACAACACCAGAGTCACTGGATGTCATTGCACTGGATGATGACGATTTGAAGGTACAGTTCATTTGATACCTAGTGGGTTGAAAAATATATAAATCATTGGAGTTATTTCAAGGTCTATTTTTATATATTTGCATTATTAAGGCCAGAGTCACCCAATTCCTTAATTCTTAATATTTGTTACTTATTCTTGATTATTAAAAAGTTGGTTGGTGTTTTTAAATATCGAATTAAGGACAAAAATTAGGAATTAAGGAATTGTGCTCGGATATAGGTAACTGTGGCCTGAATAATTATTCAACAGTGAATAAGACTATAAAAATTAATAATTGTGGCATTATATTTACAGTTTAAAAAGCCAAATACTTCTGCAGAACCGCAACCTTCACCATGGAGAAGTTTCAATAAGGTAAGAGGCATTGTGATGACAAAACAATTCACTTTGTGGTCACAAATTGCGAATTCATTTCAGTAAGTCCTAATCATTGGTCCTAATCGGTCTCATTGGGCAAGTTTGAAGGTCACTAAAAAGTGACAGACATACAATTTGAAAAACAAGTCTGCATCACATTATTTCGGACTTTAGGAGCATTTAGAGCTTCAGCATTTTTTCAACATAATAAAACCAATTCTTTTTATTATAGTAATAAATGGCATTTATTTTCAGACTCTTGCTACCAGAAAGCAAACAACAAGAGTCACAACTGACTATCATGACCATGATTATGAGGGAACCCCTCCCACAAAAAAGAAAAAAGATCATTCAGATGAAGCTTACAGAGAAACCATTGATATATTGAAAGAGATCAAGGAAACAATACACCAAGGACTGAGTGAAATAAAGGAAGTACTGGATAGCAGGCTCCAACAAATTGCTGAAGGTGTAAATTCCGGAAAGTAGTAACGGCAGTAAGGCTAAGTTGGGGTACATTCATATTTTGCTGATGCATTATGGGTGAACCCGAGAATACTTACCAAGCTTTATCTTAGGCATATCGATATCGATTTTAAATTTTGGGGATGTATATCATTCATATTGATGCAAAATTTCAGCCTTAAAACAATTAATTTTCGCTTTTGGTTTGACCGGAAGTGCCATCAACTTCTTTATTTCTAATAGATCAACCCCTTCATTACTATATTTTTGGATTCTACGAAAAATTCTAATCATACTTTATGCATAATATTCTATACTTAACTTTATTAATGGTTCAGGTTGGGTTATAGGATATTATACACTTAAATATGCTTGTAATTTCTCCTGGAATCCAAAAATATATTAAATGAGGTGATCCATCCAAAATAAAGAAGTTGATGGCACTATCCAGTCAATTGTTTTTATGCTGAAATTCTGCATTGACATCAACAATATACATCCTTGAAATTCAAACCGATATCAGTTTCCATGCCTAAGATAGAGCTTGGTAAGTAATCAGTGGTCACCCAAGTTTGTTTGTATGTTTTGTCATAATAATGCCTATGCCTCTTACCTCACTTTACTGCAACTTATCGATGGTGAAGGTTCTGGTTCTGCAGAGGTACTTGGCTTCTTAAACTCTTAATTCTTATAATCTTGTTGAGTTAAATTTAAAATAGATTTTTCAGTGTTTGCTATTATTATGTCAATCTTTTAACAATGCGTACAGACAATAAAAATAAGTCCAATGATTCATACAGTTTTCTGCCTACTAGGTATCAGATGAGTTGTACCTTCACATCATCAGCGTCTAGTGTTGTGTTTGCTTGTGATGTGCTTCAAGAAAAGATTGTTAGATGATTTCAAATTAAAATTTTTGGATAATTGCAATTATTAAATGTGATCATTGGACTTTTAGATTTAGAATAATTATTTTTAATAGGTAGGTATTCGCTTTTGTACTTTCTGACTTTGTACAAGAGTGAGAACCTATAAATATATACAATACTAATAAGTTACAACACAAGGAAGTCACCTTACTCAATTATTGTCACCAAGTAGGTACATCACAAGCAAACACAATACTAGATAATCATGATGTGAAGGTATAACTCATTCGATATCTAGTAGGCAGAAAACTGTATGAATCATTGGACTCATTTTATTGTCTGTCACATCTTTACTTTGTTTCTCACATTAATAACCAATTTGAAACTATTATTAGGTTTGTTTGTTACTTCAACCCTTATTTGTGGGTAGTGTTTTTTCAAATTTAGAATCAATATTTTTGTTACTTACCTACTTACCTTTGCAGTTTGTAGGTGTTTTCGTTAGGTGTTTTGTATAAATGACCTATTTGAAAATAAAATTATGTTTGTTTCTTTAGTCCTTCGTTTGTGATTAGTATTATTTTAAGAATTTTTTTTTTGTTTTGTTACTTATCCTTGCACATTGCAGGAGCGTTGTATAGAATATATTTTTTATTTTTTTATTGTTATTTTGTCTTATGAAATATATAAAGATTTGAGAAATTGCCCTTTTTTATTTCAAGTGAACATTTATTGTATAAAATCTGAAAGCATCACAGTATATAATGATATTACAGTTTCAATATAAGTAATAATTAAAATCTATTTTTTGTAGGTAAGTAGTGGAGAAGAAAATCTAAAGTCTTGACATTGATTCAGTATTTATAGTTAACCCAAACACATCTGTTCAAATGTTTATTTGTCACTCATTTGTAAAACGTCACTTATCAAGTTAAAACATAAACAACAAAAATTGATTTTTACATTTACAAGCTACTGACTTGTTAAAAGGACAGGTAAACTGTAATAGTATATTACAATCTGAGACGGGAAATAATCTATTACTGTCGAGAGATATTACAATTTATCAAGACACATAGTGTCGAGATAAACTATATCTTGAGACAGTAATTAAATTTTTTGTCGAGCATAGTATTACTATTTTATTTTTAACCAAAGTTTTTTGCCAATTCACATTAGAAATAAAATTATTGAATGTGAACGTAGTGTCATGGTATTTGTTTAAGAGCCAGTATTATAAAGCACTGAACCACTGGTTGAATTTCAACCTTCCCTTGAATCCTATCAATTTGCCCGGAGTCAACCAAAGGTTGAAACTCAACCATCGATCGGTTCAGTGTTTATAATACTGACCATAAATGACATAAGACATACTTTCAAAAAACCATAGCAATCTTTGATTGTTTTTTTTTTGAAGACCCGTTATCTTCTGGCTTATTCATTTGTGGAAAAAAAATATATCTTTTACAAATGAGTAACAAATAAATTATTGTACATTATACACCATGTAGCAGTTTTTACTGGCTTTTAAAGGTGACAAGCTGGACTAATGGCTCGCTAGTCATTTCCTTCAATTGCCAGTGAAAACTGTTTTATATACCTGGCTAAGAATGTAAAATACTAATTTTGATCTACTATTTTCAATTACTCACTAATTAAACAATGCTGTTACTTATTTTAAAGAAGTAGTACTAATGTTTTTAACATAAACAGCTACACCACAAATGGGCACTCACACTAGTCACACTTACATCTAACATTTATTGGAAGTATCTCTGCACAATATTATTTCTTATGTTGAGAGCTTCAGCATGATTATGATGACGTGGGAGCTGAATTTCTTGTGCTGGTATATCTTCCAAATCTGGTAAAAACTCATAGTCAAAAGGCATATTTGCTTCCACACAAATGTTGTGTAAAACAGCACTGGCTTTGACAATGTTGCACATAAATTGGGGCGAGTAACGTGCAGATCTTTCTCGTAAAATGCATCTGAAACGCATTTTCCACAGACCAATGCACCTCTCAACAGCACTTCTTGCTGATGTGAGAGCACGATTGTATCTAATTTGTGCTTCATTTTCAGGAGCTCTAAAAGGTGTCATTAGATAGGGCTGTAGAGGGTATCCCGAATCTCCTATGAGCCAACTTCTTTCCCTATTTTCAAATATATTTCTCATGAAATTTTGGGCTTGTGATGCATTCCATATAAATGCGTCGTGAGTGGCCCCTCCAAAATTTGCAAACAGACCACGAATTTTTAAATTGTGGTCACAAATAACCTGGACATTTAGGGAATGGTAACCTTTCCTATTGATGTATAACTGTTCATTAAGAGGTGGCTTTAAAATAGCTATGTGGGTACCATCTACCATGCCTACCACTCCTGGAAATCCTGAATGGTGCATTATTTCTTCTTTTATTGAATTTCTTTCATTGAGAGTATTGGGCATAAAAATAAATTGATCAGCAATATTTGCCAATGCTTCTGTAACTTCATGAATACTCCGATGGACTGATGTTTGGCTTAAGCCACTATAAAACTCCTGACCTACACAGCGCTGATAAGAACCAGTAGCGTAAAAGCGTAGAGCTGTTAATATTTTGACCTCGATACTCACTCCTTTCAGAGACTTTCTGTCTACTAGATGAGGACGCAAGATGTCAAATAGGTTTCTTGTTAATGCTTTATTTAACCTAAATAATTCCACAAATCTTTGGTTAGATAAAGAAAATGCATCACTGCGGCTGCGAAGTTCCATTCTTCGATGCATTAGCTTGCGATTTCTTACTGCATTTTCGTTTGCAAGAACTCGATCCCGAACAATTGGCAACATTATAAATAAACTGTCAATAATCAACCGAAAATCAACAATTTAAGTCTCCTAACAGTCCCAACTATTGCTTAGAGGTTTAAGAACAAGTAATAGTACTGGAAGTAGCAAACCAATAACACTTGGTAAATTAAAATTGCAATTAAAAATGCTATAAGAACATAAACAATTTAAAAAGGTTGAAGTTGTTTGGTTTGAGGTTATTTTCTGTGAAAAAAGTTAAAAAAACATTCCCACTTCTAACTTCACTCCATAAGTAAAAGCCGCCGATTGTCAAAACTTTCTTCCGACAACCGAAGAAATCCGATTGAAATTCGATCGTATAATAGAATCGCAAAATACGATCCGATCGTATTCGAAATCGATTTCAGCGTCGAACTACTCGGAAATTTCGTATCGTGAAATAGAATCCCCCAGCATATTTAGTTGCCTATAGCCTGCTCGCGGGTACCATTCGACAAGGTTTTGCCCTTCATCATTTCGTTTACCGTCCCCAATAATATTTGTTTTTGTGTCTATGTACCACAACATAATTTGAATATAATAATCAATGGGGCCTCCAAGTTGCTTTTGTTATAGAATTGACGGTAATGGCGGTACTTTATTTCAAGTCTAAGTGCGCGTTCACATTGACACCGCTCGAGCGGTGAGCGTTGCGCGATGCCGCTGTAGCGATGCCCAAAAATAATTTTAACATTATATTTCAAATGAACATGTTAACACCGCGGGTCGCGCCGCTCCAGTGTGAATATGTTCATTTGAAATATAATGTTAAAATTATTTTTGGGCATAACTACAGCGACATCGCGCAACGCTCAGTGTGAACACGCACTAAGGCATTTGTCACAAACGAATGTGTGACTTTACAAGATCGCACAGCCTTTGGCCATCGGGCTAAAGATCTTTGCCCTAAGACTCATGACTTTGTTACAAAGAATTCCTAATTTTGTTGCAAAAAAGCTTTTCTCTTGTGGTAGGTACACAAGTATCAATAATGTTATTTGGATTTTGGCTTATAAATGCAAAAAAAGTATGCGATTTATTAATTTCAAATGCTCTTCAAGCCTGTAAAGTTTAAACAAATAATTTCTAGTTAAGTAGTTATCTATCGACTATTGAAAAACCACCCTAATTAATTTACTTTGATTGCTGATAAAAATCACAGGCTATCATTTTTGTAATTATATTTGTTTAGAAACTTTTTAATTTGTTTAAAGGTGGGTTTAAGTATATCTATATATCTATATCTATTTTCTATATATATATATAAAAATCAATGTTTGTATGTTTGCGCCTTATGCGCTCCTACACCACTTATCCG